GGCAGTTCTAATTTCAGACGATTTAGTTTTTAAACCAACAAAAGTAGTAAAAGACAAAGAGGGTCATCATATAATGGTGAAGGGCACAGTTCAACAAGAAGAGATAACAATTTTAAACATATATGCACCCAACTTAGGTGCACCCAGATTCATAAAGCTAACCTTACTGGATCTAACCAAATGGATTAATAGCAACTCCATAATCACCGGAGATTTCAACACCCCATTGACGGCACGAGACAGATCCTCCAAACAGAAAATTAATGAAGAAATAATGGACTTAAACAAAACTCTAGAACAATTGGGTCTGACTGACATTTACAGGTCATTCTACCCCAAATCCACTGAATATACATTCTTCTCATCAGCTCACGGGACATTCTCTAAGATTAACCTTGACCCAGGACACAAAGTAAACCTCAAGAAATTAAAAAAAAATATATAAATCATACCATGTATCTTCTCAGATCACAGTGCAATAAAAGTAGAAATCAACACTAATAGAAACTCACATTTCTACACAAAAACGTAGAAATTAAACAACCTCCTACTAAATGATTACTTAATAAATGAAGAAATCAAGATAGAAATAAAAAATTCTATGAACAAAATGACAATGGAAATACAAGCTATCAAATCCTCAGGGACACAGCTAAAGCAGTTCAGAGAGGAAAGTCTATCTCCATAAATGCCTATAACCAAAAGTCAAAAAGATCACAAATACACAATCCAATGAAACGACTCAAAGAGCTGGAAAAAGAAGAACAGACCAACCCCAAAACCAGCAGACGTGAAATCAAGAAGATCAATTAAGAACTAAATGAAATTGAAAACAGGGAAGTTATTCAGGAGATTAATAAAACAAAAAGTTGGTTCTTTGAAAAAATAAGCAAAATTGACACGCCATTGGCTTAGCTAACGAAAAGCAGAAAAGAGAAGTCTCTAATAAGCTCCATCAGGAACATAAAAGGAGATATCACAAGTGATCCCAAAGAGATACAAATATAATTTATGAATACTACAAAAATCTTTATGCACACAAACTGGAAAATGTGGAGGAAATGGACAAATTTCTAGAAACATACAGCCTTCCTAGGCTCATCCAGGAAGAAATAGATTTCCCAAACAGACAAATCTCAAGAGCTGAAATAGAAATAGCAATTAAAAATCTCCCTAAAAAGAAAAGTCCCAGTTCAGATGGTTTCACACCCGAATTTTACAACATTTACAAAGAAGAACTAGTACCTATCTTGCAGAAACTATTCTATAACATTGAGAAGAACGGAAACCTCCCCGACACCTTTTATGAAGCGAATATTACTCTGATACCAAAACCAGGAAAGGATGCAACAAAAAAAGAAAACTACAGACTAATATCCCTAATGAATATAGATGCAAACATTTTCAACAAAATCTTAGCAATCTGAATCCAGATGCTTATCAAAAAAATAATCCATCACGACATAGTA